CCCCCCGTGTCCTTCAGCGCAGGGTGTGACGATAACAGAGCTGCAAATGTGCGCCAGCTGATGCCTGATGAAGTGCTAATCTCTGCTCTGTCTGGAGAAATGTCAAGACCACAGAGCGCTGGGGCCATTGTTTCAAGCAGGCATGTAAAGGGACAAAGTGCCCGGTGATAGAGCCGTGCTTTACCGCGGTTCTGTCGTCTGAACCGGGGCTTTCCTGGGATCGGCGCTGTAAGGTCACTGTGGCTCCAGTGGTTCTTGCTAACCACTTGTGGAGTGGCACTGAGAAATTTCTATTTATAACTAGAAAAATTGTTATAAAATGGTGGATTTAATTTGCATTACACCCCCCTACGCTTGTCCGTAGGGGTTTAAAGATTTGCATCTGATTTGATTTTTGCCACAACTATAGCTAAGTGGTTTTAACAACCAGTTTTTCAGTTCCCAACCACAAGGTTTCAACACATCCTTTTCATACTTTCACTTTTCTTTCTTCCTTCCTCGCCTAATCTGCCTTTAAGTCACTTGTTAACACTTAATACCCTCATCCGCATCATCACCTCATGAAATGAGGCGAAGTTCAAGAGAAGTCGGTCTTCCGTAGGAAGACACTCAGAGGGCTTTTACTCTTAAGCTCTGATAACTGACAATAAACACTTGTTCTGTAAGCTGGAACATGATTATGGCAGAAACAGGCCGTCGCTTTAGGTCAACGTTTTGTTTTCTGTGAGATTCTCTTAGAGATTACCACAGTCCTGCAGGAGGGATTTACTTCAGTCTGCCCATTTATGGGATTTTCATTCTGTCCTGGAGGAAAACCTGAATATTTCATTTTCATTTTCACAAAGCTCTCCCATCTCTTTGGTGATTTTTTTGGGGGGGAGGACGCACAATGTATTCAGCAGCGCCTGACTCGGGAAGAACGCGTACTCAGAAGATTCTGAGCCTTTCATCTCAGAGCTGAAGCTGAGATTTCAACTCCTTAATTTGTTTTTGTTTTTTTGTTTGTTTTGTTTTGCAATCCTGCAGGATAAGTAGCTGTAACAACTCATAAGGACTGTGGTTTTGTATTCAGGTATTTGACACCTACTGGTGTCAAAAATATCCCCA